GGCCCCTCAAGCTGACTCTCCAGCCAGCTGCTGTTTCAGCCACCCGGGCCCCCAGGAGAAGAAAAAGGAGCCAGTTCCTAAAGCCAATCCTTTCTTTAAAGAGAGAAAATGCAGGGCCTCCCTGCTCCTTCGTCTTACTCTCCAGGACGTCTGTCTGAACCCTGCTGTTTGCCACAGGACAGACTTTCATTCCAATGCCTTGTCTTTAGAAAATCGGTAGGCAGCACCAGGGCATCGACCCCGTGATGCAGAGGGACTCTGTGGTTTAACTGGGGTACGAGGAGAGACACTGAAACTGTGGGAAAGGGAGTAAGTCAACGAGCTCAACGTCGGATCACAGGCAGCCTCGGGGAATGAGGGCGCGTCAGCCTCCCCTGCTCCGGGGCGGCACCCACGCCAGCCCCCTGGGTGCCGTGTTTAGATGCGTCAAACTCGGGGGGCTCACGGACTGCTTTCAGAGGGTCCAATTCCCGACAAGGAAAGAGATAACTGGCTTCTGAAAAGGTTCTTGTCCACAATCATGTCACACAAAACAAACGCTGTTCCTAGAGCCCAGGTTCCGGCCCCACAAAGCAGCCCCCCTGATGCAAGTCACTGCAGGCCAAGGATGTCAGGAGAATCCAAGCACCCTGCGCCCTTCTCAGGAGGTGGAAACCATCTCCATCTCCATTCTAGAGGCCCAAAGACGGACCCACGCCTGGGAAGGAAGGGAAACCATCAGACTCGGAGACACTAACTCTCACCTGCTCAGAGTCAGTGCCACCAACGCGGGGCAGGAAGGCCCTCCTGGGGAGAGGACTCCCCTAACTCAGCCTTCTAGCATCTCTGCTGACCCACGAAAGCAATTAGTGAGTATCCCGCCCTGGGCTGAAGGGACTGGGGAGAGAACTGCACCTCCAGCGGAGCAAAAGATATTAGTGGATGACCCAGGTTCGCTTTTTCTCCTGGAAATACAAATCCAGGTCTGAAACACTATTGGTGTTCAACTATCCACGCTTACAGCAGCTAAGCCAGCACATGCCTCTGAAAACCCACACTGCAATCCACCAAGTGTGTCAGAGCCAACAGCATCCCTCCTCTTCCATCAGAACATCCCCAGGCTCTGTCTGAAATGAACGGACAAAAGGCTGAGAGCTCTGACGTCAGCCGTCCCGGATGAAGTCCTGGAACCCCTATGCAGCGGCCGTGGGCCACTAGCTGGCTCCTTAGGCCCCTCATCCGCAAACAGAGACAGCAGCAAAATGCACGAGGATGCTGAGGACTAGAGGAGGCGAGTGCAGAGTCCACTATCACAACCGCTGCCACCTTCATGCACTGGATGTCCCCAGGGCGGGGGCTTGGAGACCTGTCCCTTAAGGAGCAGCTGGGGAGACTCAGTCTGGAGAAAAGCAGCCTTGGCGGTCCAGGTGCCCCCAGCTGGCAGGGCCATCCCAGGCAGGGGTGACAGACGGGGGCTGTGGACTCAGAGGGCAGAAACAGGACCCTCAGAGAGGGGTGGGCCTCAGCAGCAGAGCCCAAACCCCGTAAACAGGGCGTCCTCCCCGTCACAGCTGGCCAACTCGCCAGTGTGCCCCATCACTAGAGGGCCCCGTGTCCGCGATGGAGCCCACGCCCGTTACCTGAGACACGGTGACGAGCTTGCCGGTCTCAGCGTCCACGGCCTGCACGACCCCTGACACGGTGCCGTTGCCGATGGCAAGCCCCCGCACCAGCCCGGCGCCGTTCACCACCGCAACGCTCTCATTGCTGATGGAGAACAGGATGTTGACCTGAGGCTGGGGGCCGCCCTCGGAGGTGATCTGGAACGGGGAGACACAGCAGTGCCCGTCAGCCCCCGTCCTCCCCGCCAGCCCACACCTTGTCCTCAGAGGGTGAGGGCGCCAACAACCTGGAGCATTCCACCTTAGCCGTTTCTGATGCCCAGGGTGGGCAGGCATGCCTGGAGCCAGGCGGGGGTAGGCGGCAGCCCGCATTGCTGATGGCATTGCTGACGGCTGGCCGCAGGTGGGGCTGGGGCAAGGATGTGGCGTTTGGCTCCTACCTGCATCATGGCCCCAGTGATCAGCGTCACCTTCCTGGGCATCAACCTAAACGGGGGAAAGACCTGGGTGTGGAGACACAAGACAGAAAGGGGACTGTTGTGTTCCAAGCTCACGCAGTGGGGCGAAATCCACACCTCATGTCTTCAGGGAGCGAGAAACATGCTGTGTGGACATCACTCCTCTGTGGAGACTGACTGGCGAGGGTCTGGGTTGGGGCCAACTCTGGTGGAGCCTGAGCGGTTCCCACAGGATCTCATCCCACCCCCGGCCCAATGATCCACGTTCTTGGTGGCGGTGGTGGGGGGCGTGTTCCACTGTGTGAATGCCACGTGGGAACCATGAGAAATGTGCACTCTCCAGCCCACCCAGACCTGCGGAACCAGGTGGGGTCCTGCGCTCTACCAAGTCCTCCGGGGGACTCCGA